GACAGACTGAACTGAGAAGAAACTTTAGCAAGGTGGGAATAGGCTCTGAGAGCTCTATTCTCACACACGTTTTCAGCAGGCGTATTTCCCCAGCTCAAACTGTAGCATTTTGCGGGGGAGGGGGTTTCCCATCATCTCCAAAGGAGAATTGCATATTTCAAAATGCATTTCAGTGTGCAGTTGAGGAACTTTTACCTTATCTTTTAGTTGGAAATGATCAATCTGAAATTACCTTAAGTATATAATGACATACTACAAAGGCAATATGAGAAGAATCTAATAGAATTCTGTAATGCCTTCTCAGAAATGAGGCTGCACAATTTAAAATCGTATGCTCAAGGACTGGTATCAATACTTCAGTTTATGTGTGCATCAAAGATGACACACGTACAATCTCATTGTAGATCATGATTAATAGATGGACATTTTCAATTGATTTTGATGACAGGGAACACTGACTTAGAACCTTAATTAAGGAAAGGGTTATCTTCCCCCAAAGGATTTCATTCTTTCCATTAGCAGATCTCTATTACAACAAAGTACAAAATTAATATTACCACATTTTAAATTTCACCAATAAAAAAAATCTGTGAAATATGTTTTTTCTCTTGCTATACAAGTACCTGCATAATATCTTCCAGTTTGTGTCTTGGCCTGAAAAGCCTAAAATATTTACTGTCTCTTCTATTTTTTCTTTTGAGACAGAGTCTCACTTTGTCACCCTCGGTAGAGTACTGTGGTGTCACAGCTCATAGCAACCTCCAACTCCTAGGCTTAGGCGATTCTCTTGCCTCGGCCTCCCAAGTAGCTGGGACTACAGGCGCCCACCACAACGCCCCGCTATTTTTTGTTGCAGTTGGGCCGGGATTGGGTTTGAACCCACCACCCTCAGTATATGGCACCAGCACCCTACTCCCTGAGCCACAGGCGCCACCCTATTGTCTCTTCTTTTATAGAAAATAAAAGCTGCTGACCCCTGTCCTTGTCTGCATCCAACAATGTGATCAGGGTTTAATAATCCAGATTTATTGCTTGACTCTTGCTATTCCTTCCCCCTTTTGTACTTTTCTTCTTGTCCCACCCTCTCTATATTATACACACGTAGTGATGACACATTTGTAAGTACTTATTATTCTCTGTGTCTTGATATAATGTCTTTTTGCATGAGGTTTTTTTTTTTTTTTTTTTTTTTCATTTCAGAATACTACGGGGTACACATCTTTTGTTTACATATTTTGTTTTCATACAGGTTAAGTCAGAGTTATACACAGCTCAGTGCCCTTCACCCAGATAGTGTGCACTGTACCCAGTAAGCGTGAACACTCGTCCCCTTCTCTCTGCTTCCTTCAGCTTGATTTTCATTGAGATTTACTTCCATGGATGCACGTCCACCCAGTTCACGTCCAGTGAACTGCCACTTGGAAAGGACCAAGTGGGTAGTTTAAAGAATCAAGTCAAGGATTTGGAGCACACTGAAAATGTGTATTAGAGAGAACACGTCTCGTCTGTCTAGAGGCTGCTAGGTGGGCATCGGTAGTGAGCTAGGTCCAGCAGTCTGAGAAACAGCTACTGCGATGGTTCTGCTTTTCATGAGGTCTGGGTGGCATCGCGACTTTCCCAGGGACCCTGCCTAGTCAATACTTCATACGCTGTGGGTCAGTTCATAGAGCCCCTAGCTGGGCTTATGTCTGTAATAGCATGTGAGCAATTATCAGAATTCTTCTGTTCAGGGAATGAGAGGAAAGGAAGGGGGTTTTTGTTTGTTTTTCCCTCATTTTTCCCCTTAAAAGAATATACGGTAGGTACAGTTTAGGGCTAAATCAGCATGCATGCCGCTGTGTAAAAAAAGAACTAATGTTTTATTTTTCTCTTAGTGCCTTAAGCATGGATTTCCTCGTGTACTTTCATGAGAGTTATATTAAATCTCTTAAAAATATCTGGTTATAGCCCTAAGATGATTCAGCAGTTGCTCAGTTTATCATTAAAGGTTATCTTAGAGCTCAGCAGCGGAATACTCACTGCAGCCTGTTTTCGTGTTCATTATGAAGTCTTGTTAGTCTTCGTTCTTTTTCCTGAGAGAAACTCTGTATAAAATACACTTACCAAACTGCTGAATTCTCAATATGATTGGCAGGAAGAGTAATTCCATATTTGGTATTCATATTTATTTTCTAGTTTAATGTTTTAAGGACGTAAAGACAATTTGCTTTTAAATGCAGTCCTTCTAACTGATTTGCATCCTCCTGTCTTTCAGCACCTGGGGATAATTCCCTGTTGCTGCTGCGAGCAGAGTTATATTTAACCATGAGGAACTACGAGCAGGCGCTACAGGATGCCAGTGTGGTTTGCCAGAATGAACCTCTCTCAACTAAGGTATTGGTATGTGTTGGCTTTGGAGATAACAGATTTAAGTTTCTGGGATTTTCTTAAAAATAATGTAAGATAATTGTGATTTGGTATATACAGACAAGGTATATTTCCTGTAAATGACAGTGGTATAAATTTAGCAATCCGCGCAACCCAACCCAACTTAAAAGACTAGAGACAACTCGATTTAGATAAGAAACACTAATTTAGAACTATATTTAGTAGCTATTTAATTGAATAGTATGCCCTGTACACTGAAAAATACAAAGGGTGCTGAAAAAGCTATACCATTTTAAGAAAGGAAGAAACTGTATTAAAATTGTAATACCCAATGTATACCGATAACAAAAGATGAATACGAGTCACATTGAGTGAGCACCTCTTATAATCGCAGAAGTCAAATGTGACTTGAATATTACAAATTTAATATAGATTTTTCCCTTTCTTTAAATGTGTATGCCATTTGGGGGGCACCCTCTCTAAACTCTTGAAATGAAATTATTTCCTTCCTTCCTTCCCCATCTATCCATCCATCTTTGAATCTTTTAAACAAAATGTTTTCAGATTAGATTGAGCATAAAGTTGGACTTGAGAATAAAGCCAAGGATAGGAGCAAATGTTTGTTAGACC